TTGGACGCTGAACATCGCGACTGACGTTAGTACACCAGCTAATAGTCGTCTTCAATTTTGCTTTCGCCCACGAGTATTGAGCGTTAGCTGGATCAAGGCTCTGCACACTTTTGTAGCTTTTTCGCATGTGTACGCTAAGTGTTCCTTAAAGGACATCCTTGCATCAAGGATAATTCCCAAGTATTTAATTGCCGGTTATGTCGTGATGCTTGCATTCTTTGTATTGAACGTGGCAATTTCGCGGACTTTTCTTCCAGTAACGAGTACCGCGTCTTTCTTGCTCTCCGCTAGGTTCAGTCCGTTAGTTTCGAGCCAATCGCTCATTAAGGCTATTTTTCTGTTGCTTATCGAAACTATATCGTGTATGTGTTTTGCTATAACCAACACAGCGTTATCGCCTCCGAACCCCATAATATGAACGTTTTCGGGTACTTTTAGTCCATCGTATATAACGTTCCATAGTAGCGGCCCAAGTACAGATCCTTGGGGTACTCCTCCAGAGACTTTATATATTTTATAGCCTCCGCATGTGTTTTAGCTCAAAGTTATTTCCTCGAAATAGCTTACTATTAAGTTCTAAATGTAAAGAGGCACGGAGAAGTTTTATGTGCACTCAATATACTGTGCCAGGATGCCGAGTTAAAGGCATTTTTTACATCCAGGGTCACAACCATACAGTACTGTATTGTGCCTCCTTTCCATCTTTTCCCGCTTGTAGCCATTTCAGCCAGGGTCTTTACTAGGTTTACAGTTGCAATTGTGGATCTTGCCTTCCTGAATCCGAATTGGTTGGGTGATAACCCACCGGCATCGTCGATTGCCTTATTTAGCCGTTGGGATATGATCCGCTCCAGATCCTTTCCAGCGGAGTCTAACATGCAAAGGGGCCGGAAGTGGGACGGTTCTGCCATTGGCTTGTTAGGATTCGGTATTATAATATTAGGTTTTGGCTTTTCCATATGGTGGGAAAGCGGCCGGCCTGGGTGCACGTATTATACTTAGTTCGAAAGGGGTCTATGTTTCTAGCAATCGCCGGGGCTTTAGATGGGTTTAACCATTTGCATGCTTTTCGGACTTCTTCATTCGCAACAGCCGGAATAATCTGGGTTTGTGGTACTCTCACGATCTCCTGATAGAGTTCGGGTCGGATAGGGAAGAGGACCGAAACTATTTCTCAATTGTTGACGGGTGGAACACGTGAATATCGTTAAAATAATGGAAATATTTGAGTTCTATCATCATATCAGCACTTTCGATTGTCCAGTCCATTACTCAAAAACCCATTTCAAAACATTTAAATAATCCTGAACATTACTTTACAAAAAATTTCAGAGATCGCATTTCCAGCAGCTATTTCTGAAGCGGTTGGCTACTGTACATGAAATCGTGGTCGAATTGCGGTGAGACGGCGCAAGTTGCGTTCAAGTTAGGATTGACGATCAGAATGGTTTTACTATGTGTTTGGTGGGGTTGACAACAAATCTTTTATGATGAGCTGTCCCCCTACAGACAAACTTTTAATTTGGAACTGTACTGTAAATAATTGTAATTTAGTTAACCATTTAGAAACTCGTAATAACATTAACCGAAATCTCTAATAGCCCTCTCGGTTAACGTATGATTTAACAGATAGTTTACACGCAGTGTAGCAAATGTTAGTGAATTGAATTGTTTAATAATTCTTCACCTAAAGCAGAGAATTGCGCTCCTCTGGCAAACCATACATAACGTACATAAATACCATATGTACATATATGTATACATAAGTATGCTTCTTTTATAGAAAGGAGTAGCAAATCTTTTGAGAATAATATTTACCACCTCCACCTATAAAAAAATTTTATAAGCAGATATTTGAATAGTGGAACGTGCGGTATGTATGTTTATATGCTATGTGGACTGGTTTACCATTCACAAACTCTTATCGCCCGTAACATTCGCCGATTCGATCATATATATTTACATACCCACGTAAGCGGATATGTACATATGTATACTATAATTGAATTGATAAATTTGTTTAGCGAATAAAATCGTGGGCACTGAAGCTGATATATGTTTTTATAATTAGCACATTCAAAGCTACGAACCTAGTCTTAAACTCTTCTTAGAAATATTTTTGCTTCGTTTATTATTTGCCGCCATCCACATTTCATTCAAAGCTTTGGTATATGACATGGACGCAACCCTGTAGGTAAATATCTATGTTACAAATTTAAGGACTAATAGTTTGTTTCTAACTTTATATTTATGTTTATATCTGTCTATGAACACATCGACTAAAATATTAAATAGTGCATTCTTAGTTATGACATTTTGTAGGTTTTCGGTTTCCGCCATTTTGTGGGCGTGGCAGTGGGCCGATTTTGCCCATCTTCGAACTTAACCTTCTTATGGAGCCAAGAAATACGAGTACCAAGTTTCATCATGATATCTCAATTTTTACTCAAGTTACAGCTTGCACGGACGGACGGACAGACAGACATCCGGATTTCAACTCTACT